TGAATTTCACTTGGATTGGCCAAAGAGGTCACATAGGGAGTTGTTAGTTGTAGCACCCCCTATTGATGAAATGTGGTCATGCTATTACTGCAATGCCTAGAATGGCCCTGGGAGGTAACATTCCAATTTGCTGAAGATAGACCAAGGCATTGCAGAGTTATAACTGTCTGATTAAAGTTGATCGACATAGAGCTACTGGCCCGGTGGTAGACGAATGTTAAAGTTTTTTGACAATTATTGAGCAGCCCAGGGGCCTGATTGGTGTGATAGCACATTTGTCTGGATCGGTTGGAAAACCTAAGAATAGCAAATTATGCAAATTAGCCAAAACAATTTGTGCTGTAGCTAAATATTGTGGTTGCATGTTAGCAGGGCAGGGCCAACTGTAACTGGGGAAAAAAGAATTTTGACTGTAGACCTAACAGGTTAGAAGGTTTAGGCCAAAACATAAAATGCTCCATTTGTAGCACCCCCTATTGACAAAATGTGACTAATCTTTTACCGTGTTGCCAGGATAGCTCTCCCAGGTAGGATTACAAATTTGGTGAAGATCGGCTAAGGCATCGCTGAGTTACAGCCGTCCAAGTAAACTTGGTGTGATTAAGGTACGGTTTGGGCGTGGCCTGCGGCCATTTTTTTAAAACAAATTTTCATTCAGCCATGAGTCTGATTGGTCTGACAGCAGATTTGTCTGAACTGGTCAGAAAACCTACAACTGGGAATTGTGCAAATTAGCCAAAAGACTTGTGGTCAGAGCTTAATATTGTGATATGCAAGTTGACAGGGTGGGGGCCAGTGTATCTATGGAAAAAAGAATTTGAAGTCTAGACCTGAATATAGGCAACAAAGTAAAACCCCATGCTGTAGCCCCCCCCCCCCAAAAAAAACAACTATCACAGGCAATATCCTCCCTGGCTGGACAACGAGGGAAGTAGCGCCTTGAGTGTGACATTCGGCCATGGATAGCTCCCACATCACACACGTAGAACTGGACGTCATCCATGTGGTAAAAGGGCTTTGTGGATCTGTCCAAAAATGTGCCCAGATTTGATTAGACATTTGCCTTCTCCCTTATCCTTGTCTTCACCCCCCCTTCATCTTTATCCTCATCATCTTGCTGCTGTGTTTGCTTCCATTATTGTTGTAAATAGGTGGTCACATGCTGTTTTACATTACATCCAGATTTAAGAGTTGCCAGTTAAGCAAAGTGGTTTTTGGCCAGGCAGCACGTGTTTTGGCCAGTTGGTTCATGGTGTGGCATTTTGAAATGGCAGTGACTTTAGTCCGGACACCTGTGACTTTTGCAGAGAACTGTGCACAGTGTTTGGAAAAAATTGTCACGCTGAATTGCAAAATGCGTTTAGAGCTTTGGAGCGTTATGCTGAGGATTTGCTCTCTGAGTGCCCGTTTCAGTAACTGTCACTTTCACATTTCCTGTCCTGTTGATTTCCTATTTTCTGCTCTAATTATAGTATAGGTTTCATCCACTAGGTGGTGCTGTTACACAGTAAGGGAAAAATGTATAGATGTTGGATTGTCACTATAGCATTTTGCTTCAGCTATTGTGAAACAAGGCTCCTGGGCCATCATTAGTAGTTTTTACGTCTTGTGCAATTAACACCCCAAAAAACTGCTTATATGCATATGTACAGCTGCTCTAGTGCTTCTAGTAAAACTAACCAGGTGTATATATTCTGGGTTACGGCCAGCAGGTCGTCTAGCAGCTCTGTAGAATATGACATGATCTGATCAGCAGCACAATGTGTAAAATGGTGCAGATACGGCTGCTGGTGGGGGTGTAATGGTATGGGGGATATTTTCCTGACACACTTTGGGCCCCTTAGTACCAGTTGAGCATCATTTAAATGCCACAACCTTCCTGAGAATCCGTTGACTATATGCATTTCTTTATGACTACAGTGTACCCAGCTCCCAATGACTACTTCCGGCGGGATAACATGCCATGTCACAAAAATCAAATCATTCCAGACTGGTTCCTTGAACATGACTATGAGGTCACTGTCACCACAGTCCACAGTCACCAGACCTCAATCCAATAGAGCACCAATGGGATGTGGATGGGATGTGGATGGGATGTGGATGGGATGTGGTGGAATGGGAGATTCAAAACAATGATGGTTCAGCTGACAGACCTGCAGCAACTGTGTGATGCTACCACATGGACCACAGTCTCTGCACCTCAAGCAGCTGATTCTATGTCATGAAGATTTAAGGCAGTTCTGAAGGCAAAAGGGGGTCTACATGGCAAGGTGTATCTAATAAAGCGGCCAGTGGGAGTATCATGACACCCCTGACAGGTGCCATTGTAACAAGATAATCAATGTTATTCACTTTACATGTCAATGGTTTTAATGTTATGGCTGATCTGTGTTTATAAACTAGATCTGACATTCGCCTTGCCTGATTTCTGCTGGCAGTCATGTTTGCCTGAACATGTTGGTAATGCAGTTATGTAAGACTTTTGAAAGTGCATGCAAAAACTTGCAAAGATTGTGTTCAAATCTTTTAACCATGAAACATAGGACTGGGAAAGGGCAATGATTTTAAGAAATTAACTATTAAGAATTTTATTGATATTAATATTTTAATTTAGTAATTTATTGTATAACTAATAATCATTTTCTTAAATATTAATAATAATCAATACTTCATTAATCCCCATAGGGAAATTGTCTTTACGCCTCCCTCAACTTGCTCTTTGTGGAGTAAGTTGTCTGCGAAGGGCAGCCACCCATAGCAGCGCCCAGGGAGTGCCAATGAAGGAACTGATGCCATTGACTGGCCCCCACGCTCACCTGACCTAAATCCAATAGAACACCTCCTGGCATCATGTTTCGGTCCATCCGATGCCACCTCAGACTGTATATGCCTCATCTACACTTTTTAACAAAGCCATGAATGCAAATCATAGCCAATGTCCTGAATGTTTATCAGCCATATATGTGTGTATCTGTTTTATGAGTTGAACACTATGTCTAGTTCCCAATTTGCTTGTGACAAGAAGAAATCAAAGCCCATATTTACAAAGGTAAAGGGAAATGGAACACAAATATGAAGACTTAACGTGTTTGACCATCTGAAAATTTGGAAATAGTTAAATGCATCTTAATGTCATGTCCTGCCAGTAATGTATCCATTTGGTCAGCAGAGGCCGCTGCTGGCCCTTTAATATTCACCCTTGCGGGGCTCTAATGAACTGAACCTGTCTCTTGTATGGTCCTAGTCGGTTTGTGTTCCCACCCTTGCCCTATTCACCACCTCAGTCGTTTTTGCATGTCACAGTGTTGTCCCCCTGTGGTCCTGTTTGTTTCTAACCCTGTTCCGTGTCTCAAATAAAAACCATTTTCTTTGCTCCTTGGCTGCCTCTGGGTTGTTCCTTTCCTTGAATGTGACACTTAAGATAAAGTGCTTTTACACCGAAGTTTCGGAACCTGGACCCTGTTTACACTGGACTGTCTCCCCGGGAACTTCTGTCGCTTTCACACCTCTGACCTTTATGCCAAATAAGCATGGGAGACACAAAACACTCATTGGTTAAACTTTACACATCATTTGACATGGAACGACACCACCAGTCCAAATCAATGGAGGATGAACAAGTCATGTCGATAGTTATTTGTTAGCTATTGGGGGGATTGATTGCGATCAAAATGGGGCATAGCCTTTTATTTATACAACTCCTACTCCAACTCCTACTCCAACTCCTACTCCAACTCCTACTCCTACCATTTGCACTGCTCTCTGCCGCAACATAACACTGTAAGATTTATATTTAACACAACCCTGTAATGTACAAATGGTATAGAGGGTACATGGGTACATAAGAATCAGGTGTTATTAGCCAATAATGCAAGCATGCAAAGAAGATGATGCAGTGTGTCTGCTCCAAGTACACACAGAACAAAACAAAAAAACTGAAGCTAAGGGAGGTTGTGGCCAATGACTCCACAGTGGGTGGGTGGGGGGTATTTCCAGATGTCCACATCTTCCTCCACCGTGCTTGTGGTGTTAAGTTCCAGGTAGTTTTCAAGAGCTTGACATGGGAGTTAGTGGTGGTACAGTCATTTGTGTAAAGTGAGTAAAGGAAGGGGGGGGGGGCACCTAGCCTTGTGGTAGCCCTGTGCTGAGGGTCAGGGAGCGGGAGGTGTGTTACTCCAGCTTTACATACTGCCTCCTGTTCGAGAGGAAGTTGGTGATTCACAGACAGAGATTCCATACATCATTTGTATGGAAATTTAGTGTTATCCATATAATTAGGTTATTTTGTATGTTTTAGAGATGTATTTACAGTTGAAATCATCCATCCATCCATCCATTTTCTGTAACCATTTGTTCTACTGGGGGCCGCAGTGGGTCCAGAGCCGATCCCAAAGATTATAGACGCAAGGCAGGGAACAACCCAGGATGGGGCCAGGTGAATTAGATTTATTTTGTTGTGTTCTTCAAAATTTAATACATAAATTATTTTCTTTAAGATGTGCAGATTCTATTTGACACTATTACATAATGGAAAAGAAAAACATTTTGATTTAGACCAAATATTAGCTTTTGTTTCCTGGATAATTGGCCACAGGTAAAATGATTCCAGTTATTGGCTGAAGAAACTGATTATATCATCCATTATGAGTAGTTGATTGGTGAAAAAAATCAGTCACCTCTAAAAAGCAATTTTCTCATAATTATTAGCTACACAAGAATACAAGCAAATGTGTATTGTAAAGCACAAGTTCGTAGACACCTCATAATAGGGGTCCTTCAAAAACTTAGCCAAAGCTGTACGTTTTCATAGTAGATGTCTGTGGAGCATGTGACTCTCCCAAAAGCAAGAAACATTCCTGCCAATGTTAAGTGGGAGTTGGAATGGAGTGAATGTGAGCCTGATTTCAGCCTCACAAGAAAGGGTTGGTTATTCTATGTTTAATTTTCAGACCCATGCATGTCAAGGGCCCTCTAAACGTTTTGCTCAAAATGTGGCTTTTTCGATCGACTAAGCTATGTAATCAGTAGTGTACAGAACGCTAGAGTGTATGGAACTCAAAAATTCACAGATAATCATAGACATTCCGTTAAGTTTGTTTAGCACACACTTATAGCCAAAGTGACATACATTTTTTCAGAAAGAGCAGATCAGACAATCACTGGAACAACTGGGATTTGAACCTGTGACATTCCGATCACAGGCACACCACCCCCCAAATATTACACAATGACGTTGATGTTACACTATAAATGGTCATATTTTCTGACATATATACTGTAGTGTTATAGACTCCTGACCCCCCCGTGACCCTGAACAGATAAGCGGTTACAGAAAATGGATGGATGGATGGATGGATGGATGGATATGTAGTGTTTGTGTGGCTCAGCTCTTTTAAAATGGACTTTCAGACTTCAATGGCACAGACGGGGAAGCCAACAATTTAAATAAAATACACATCCGGGGTAGACATTAAGGAAAACATATGCATTCCATGGTAAAACATTAAACTAGTAATTTTCTCACCAAAGTTCAGGAACCTTGCTCCTGGTTCTGAGTTCCTGGGCCATCTCGACCAGTAACTTTTGTAGTTCTTGACCACACTCAGGAGCTGCAAATGTAAATGCAATCACATGATGCAATGGTATTACATAATGTGTTGTCACACGGCATGTCACGATGCATTATGTAATAACACCTCATTATGTAATAACAACAAAATTGTACAAATTTATAGACTACATTATAATTTTATATCACAACATTACCCTATTATAATTTTTATTGTTATCATTTTCATCATTATCATCGTTATCATTATCATCATTCAATTTGTTATTTTCTGTCGAGTTATTACATAATGCAGAATTATTACATAATGTAGAATTATTACATAATGTGTTGCTACAAACCTTAATACTAAATAAGCAAAGGAGATGAAAAAAGCTTGTAGGACTAACATGACATGTAGTTTCATGCAAAACTACAACACCACCAAAAAACAAATGAGAATTAACAGGTCATTTTGTTAGGTATTGGGGTGATTAATTGCGCAGTCCAAAAATACTGGGGAAAATATTTTTATTTAAATAAAATAAGTAGACACGTAGTTTTGGGGCCATGGTATATTATTGAAACGTTTGTTGCACCCTCTGCAGTTGTATAATGGCATTTAAATTCTAGATCTCGAAAATAAGACAACCCCAGTTTTTTAGATGTATTTTTAGATATAGATATATATATATTCACCAGTACATAGAGGGAAATGACAGTAATATCATAATACCTCGATTAACTTGTGCATATCGAACTGTCAAGGGAGTACACAATGGTTCAGTTATATGCCGTGTACTGTTCCACGGTGTCACACCCAGTGGGCCGGGACAACTGGATTAGGGAACGAGCAGTGATGTCAGAACATGGCTAGAGCTGTCAACATGCAACCTGTGTCTCTCCACTGTCCATTGTCTCTGCCACCGTCCCACCTCCGCCTACCCTGCGGGAGGGCGACAAGGTGAATGCAGACCGTGCCCTCCCAGTCTCCAGAAAACGTCAGGGGAAACTCCAGGACATAGCAGACTGGGAGCCCCGAAGAGCAGTCATGGATTCCTGCAAAAGACATCCTTGACCTTGATCCTTTAAAATGCAGCTGGCTGTCTATTGAAATCCGCCAGTGTAAATGTCTCTGACTGTGTGTAGTTTTGTACTATTGGCACACTATGCCACCCTCACCACCCGTTGCAGGTCCTTCCTGTTCTCCTTTGTGCAGCTGCTGAACCATGTCATGCAGCAGTAGGTCAGGAGGTTCTCCATTTTTGACCAGTAGAAGTTGGTCTACAGCCGATGAGGGAAGTGAGCGTGCCTCTACTTCCTTAGGAAGTAATGCTTCTCTTGGGCCTTCTCCACCTGATGAGAGATGTGTGTGGTCCAGGTGAGGTCAGCTGAGATGTGCACACCAAGAAACTTAAAGCTCTCTACCCTCTCTACCTCCTCCCTGTGTATGCAAAGGGCAGAGTGCTCTGTGTACTTTGATTCCATGAAGTCCATTATTATTTCTTAGGTTTTGCAGTATTTAAGTCCAGGTTATTGTGACAAGACTATTCTGCTAGATGCTGAAGCATCTGCCAGTAGACTGTCTCATTATTGCCCGATATCAGTCCTACTGTTGTGGTATCATCAGCAAATTTGACTATAGTGTTGTTGTGATGAATAGGGAAGCAGTCATAAGTAAAGAGGGAGTAGAAAAGAGGGCCGAGGACACACCCCTGTGGTGTATGAGTGTTCGAATGAGAGTGGATGATGTGACATCTCCCATACTGGAAGTCCAGTATCCATGTGCACAGTGTGCTGCCTAAGCCCAGAACATTTTTGGTTTGTTTCTTGGCCTAGTTGATTACCTTGTCATACACTCTTCTACGCCAATTGTGATTTCTTTTTATTCCTCATGTTCAGCTTCAAGAATAATTTCAGAATAATTGCACCTATACTATGTCAAATTAACAAGGACATGTAAAAAAAAAAATATATATATATATATATAAAGTGTACAATAGTTCAAATATGTACATATGATAAAGTGCAAATATCAAACAGTTCAAACCAAGTCTGCATTGCTGGTAGCAAAAATATCTACCTTTATTCTCTACCTGTTAAAAATGTCAGTTAGAACAGTATGCAAAATAATTTGGGCTTTCTTCCTGTTATGTAAAAGAAGCACACATTTGCTTTTGCACTCTGCAGGTGTTTTGCTAAGAAGACTAGCGTGTTCGCTGTCTCAGGCTTGGTTGATGCTCTTTTGCAGGTGACAGTGCTGTCTCTTGTACTAAAAGCCCTTTCTGAAGGTGTACTGGTGGCAGGGATACAGAGATAACGCTTCGCCAGGAGCAGGGGTGCTGCTGGAGATTTTGGACCCTATGAAAGTCTGTCACACTGGGCCCCCAACCCAGACCAAATCAATTATGTTCATGTATTAATTTTTTAGGGCCCCTGTCAGTCATCCTTACCTCCCCCTCCCCCCCACTTTAGAGCGCCCTGGCCAGGAAACTCACTTTAGGAAAGGCAGTTGTGTGGACTCTCCACGATTCAAGAGGATTGGTATCACTGTCCACAGAAGGAGTTTGGAGGTAGTTTTCGTGTTCAGCTTCGGTCAACTGTTGGTATGCAAATCCAGCTGCTGCAACAGAATGGGATTCTTGAAAAAGGTGCCCAGTGTCTTCTGTTTTTTGGATGGTGCTGGTGCTCCTCCCTCAGCTCCCGTGAAGCTCTGAAGTCCAGTAGCTGAAATGCTCTGGCTTTCAGGACATCGACTTTCTCAGGTTTCACATAGGAGGCTTTGAACCAAGGATCAAGGAGGGATGATATGTCCAGAAGGTCACGTGTCATCATTTGTCCTACATGTAGCAAATGATTATGGTTTTAATGTTGTCTTTGAAGTCTGAGTCCTCATCTTCTGGCTTCAGGACCTCCTCACTGAGCAGGTGAAGCCCAGGCTTCACATAAGACACACCGATATATGATTATACACAGTTGCACTTTAACTTGTTATATTGCACGTCCTTTTAACTTGCAGTTTGCTTATGTAAAGTCCATTCATGTTTTCATTTATCTCTTGCATTTCATTTATCTTGTATATCTCTTTGTGTGAACACCTGCAGCAAGAGGAATTCGTTGTACAATTGGTATGTGGTGAACAATACAGATTCTGATTTCACTAAAGAGTAATGTCTAAACATTTTTAAGATATATTAAGAAAATATTAACAATGCCCTCCTACAATGCAAGCATTTATGTGTAATAAACCGAATTTCCAAAATGAATTTTCTATGATACCTTCTAGTGGAATAGTTTACTTCAGAGGAAATTCCATCAGAGCAACCAAAAGTTGAGAACTGCATTGGTATGCTGAGAGCATCCCCGACATCTGCACATCCACATTCTGGCTTAGTCTTCCGCTCCACCTCCTTCCCTGTGCTCCATCCCTTTTCTCAGGCATCTGCTGGCGAGTCACTTTAGAGGGCTGCGATCACCATAGCAAAGTGGGAGATCCTTACGCGGGGAAAGCAGATCAAACACCTTTATTCCCCATGACTGGCTAGCCCAGTCATGGCCTTCTTCAGTTGCCTCTACTCATTCTTCAGAAGGGCAAAAGTAAGTAGCAGTATATTTTTATCCCAGTAAAACACAGGAGAACTTGTTGTGTTGCTAGGCATCATGTTGCCTATTTGCTGGTGAATTAAATTTCACAGCGTTAAATATGTTCCATGCAAGTTGTTGGTTATGTGGTCTGTTCATTGGGCTTGAAATTATGTGCTGTGTATTGAGTATTTTGGTTCTGGAAAAAAAACCACATTTGCTAATTTTCAACATTTCTCTAAATGTTTCTTTTTTTTAATTCTTATCCTCCTAATGGGGCGAAATAGAAAGGCCACATAATAGGGGTCTTTATAAAGCTCATATTTTTTCATGTTAGGCGTATGTGGAACATGTGACTCCCAAGAGTAAGCACATTCCTGGCAACGTTAAGTAGGAGTAGGAATGGAGTGAATGCAAGCCTGTTCCTGGCCAGAGTACTCACAAGTAAGGGTTGGTTAGCTCACAGTTGCTGTGGCAACTGAATTTAAAAACTGCTGCTTATTTAAAATACATACATGCATAACGGGCAGTGTCTGAAATAAATAATTCCATCACTGCATCATGTGTGTAATCAATGAACTGTACAACTGGCTGAGAGACTACTGAAATAAATGTAAACAGTAGCCCTTTTATTTATTATTAATTAGCTTCAGACTACAGAAGTGCATTATTTGAATTCAGGGAGGACTGCTACTACTCTGAGACTTTTACGTAAGTGTTTAAACATAGAAAGTGAACAAAAATAAACCTTGTGTTCATTCATATTATTTTACATTTGTTCTTATGCAGTTTCTCCCCCCTAATTTCTCATGCTTTTGTATTTAAGACAGCCCAAAAAAAGAACACTTTCCTGTCATTTCTTATCAAAAATAAATTCAAAACTTCACCAATCACGGGACAATACACATAAAGTTAATATGTACAAAATAATATAATGTAAAATAATTTTCTAGAACACAGCCCCTTTCATTATTTTTTTATTATAGAGAACCCAGAATTTTAACTCTAATTAAATATTTAAACATTAAAGGCATCAGAATAATTATACATTATCTTTTTAGGACCTGCCCTTGCCATGGAATCATAAAGATGCAGGTAGAGTTACATAAAAGTATTTCTATCTATCTATCTATCTATCTATCTATCTATCTATCTATCTATCTATCTATCTATCTGTCTGTCTGTCTGTCTGTCTGTGTCTGTCTGTCAGTCTGTCTACCTTCCCATTAAATCATTCAATATTTGGAAAACATGAAAAGTAAAAGGGGATGACACTACAATGGGAACAATCACGCTGTCTTCATATGCTGAATAATTATCCATCCATCCATTCAGGCCCATTGTCACAGGTGTATAAAGTTAAGCACCTAGCCATGCAGTCAGGTTTACTGACATTTGTGAAAGAATCGGTCATTCTAAAGAACTCAGTGAACCAAAGTGTGGTACTGTTATAGGATGCCATCTTTGCAGATCGTCAGCTCGTGAAATTCATTCCCTGATAGATATTCTGTGGTGAACTGTAAGTGGTATTATTGCAAAGTGGAAGCAGTTAGCAGCGACAGAAACTCAGCCACAGAGTGACAGGCTACGTAAAGCAACAGAGCAGGGTTGCTAAGTGCTGTAGCGCATAGTGCGCAAAAGTCGGCAACTCTCAATAACTGCAGAGGTCCAAACTTCCTCTGGCATTAACTCCAGCACAAAAACTGTGCCAGGAGCTTCATGGAATGGCCTTCCATGGCTGAGCAGCTGCATGCAAGCCTCACATCACCAAGTGCAGTGCCAAGCGTCAGATGGAGTGGTATAAAGCACGCTGCCACTGGAGTCTGGAGGAGGGGAGATGTGTTCTGTGGAGTGACCAATCACGCTTCTCTATTTGGTGGTATGATTGACGAGTCTGGGTTTGGCGGATAGGAGAATGTTACCTGCCTGACTGCACTGTGCCAAACGTAAAGTTTGGTGGAGGAGGGATAATGGTGTGGGGTTGTTTTTCAGAATTGTGTGGAAAGCCTCCCCAGAAGAGCGGCAGCTGTTACAGCTGCAAAGGGGGGACCAACTCCATATTGATGCCTATGGATTTAGAATGGGATGTCATTAAAGTGTGTGTAGATGTAATGGCCAGGTGTCCCAATGCTATTGTCCACCCATCCATTTTCCAAACCACTTATCCTTTTTGGGTCATAGGGGTCTAGAGCCTATGGGCATGAGGTGGGGAACGACCCAGGATGGGGGGCCAGTCCATCGCAGGGCACACTCACACCTATGGGCAATTTAGTAACTCCAATTAGCCTCAGCGTGTCTTTGGACTGTGGGGGTAACCTGGAGTACCCAGAGGAAACCCCATGACGACATGGGGAGAACATGCAAAAGTCCACACACATAGAACCCAGGTGGAGACTCGAACCCGGGTCCCAGAGGTATGAGACAACAGTGCTAACCACTGCACCACCATGCCACCCCTGCTGTTCTCCATATAGTGTATATTTGTTTGTCATGCCCACTTTAGGCTAAGTATCTGTCCGGTTTCCAATCCACATTCCATGACTATTAAGTTTGTCTGTAGCTCTGCAACTTGGTAAATTATCATGTTCTAAATGCACCTGGTTTTCAGTTGCCTCCTTGTGAAGCATTGAGTGGTCTGCTATACTGAGCAGTTGGTCTGGGGTGGCATGGTAGTGCACTGGGTAGCATGGCTCCATGGCTTCCAGTTTTGTCGTGGGGTTTCCTCCAAGTACTTCAGTTTCCCCCCACAGTTCACATTTCAAAAACATGCTGAGGCTAATTGGAGGTACCAAATTGCCCATAGCTGTGACTGGTGTGTGAGTGTGTCCTGTGGTAGAATGCTACCCTTCACCCATAGGCTCCATCCATCCACAGCCCTGAATAGGACAAGCGGTTACAGAAAATGGATGGATGGATGTTTTGTGGTTTCTGTGTATGACTCTTGCCTGCCTTACCTGTTCTCCTGGTTCTTCTTCTTGTGATTTGAATTTGGTTATTTGCGCTGTACTATGCGTATTGACATTGTGACTTTGTGCCTATGTTGGGACTCTATATTTGCATTAGAACCTTGATTCATTTGCATTCCTTTCCATTTACTATCTTTTCGACCCTTTGCCTGTTCAAATCCTCTCCTCTCATTCCTTTAACCCCCTGGGGTCTGAGGCCTTTCAGCCACTTTCGGTGTAGTCTGACATGCCTTGACATTTCAAAATATTTCACCTATCTAAAAAACATTTATCCCAAAGTGTTACATGTGCTTTTATTCAGCACAAACTCAGCACCAATAATCTGAGACCACATAGAATGTTATTATTCTATTTTTTGTTAAAATCAACTTTAAACATATACTTTTCAAAAACCTTTTTTTCAGACATGCTGAACATCACCTTCCCAACCTGCCAACCACCAGTGTTACAATTAGGATAAAAAGTTCATTAACCAACCTTACAGTTTGCCCTTTGTTTTTATGAAGGATAAAGGAACTGTGAGGTAGACAAAAGGAAAGCCTATATTTGAATGGGAGCATTCCCACAGAAGCATAACATCCATCCATCCATCCATCCATACACTGGTCACTGTCTAAGTTTTTGTAGTAGTTTACTCATTTGTCACTTATGCTTATTTAGAATAATCTTAGTTGTGCGTGCACATTTCAGGTGATGTAATGCAGTAATGTCACCTGGCTAAGCCAATTTCTAATTAGAATTCACGATGCAATTTGACTGATTGAACATCAAAGTTAATCATAAAATAAGCATTATTGTCAGTGGTGATTTTAGGGACTCTGAAGGCCCTTGGAAAAAAAATTCATGGGGCCCTACAACTCACCCTCCCCCAAAATGGTAACATTTATTACCATTATTATTAGTCTAAATGAATAATATCAACAAAGAGAATTTAATAAACACATCTATTCACTTTTGTGAAAAACTGAATACACAAATAATGCAGATTTGTTGGATCAATGTGCTGCGTAATCAGCTGCCCTTGGGGGGCCCCTCCAACTCGGAGCCCCACATATTTGCCTGCCTTGGCTGCCCCTGTCACTACGCCTTTAGCTATTGTTTTGCTAGAACCTTGTAATACACTGGTTTGACCTGTTACTTGACATCAAATCCAGATTCAACTGTAATCCAATATCTCCGATAATCGAAGTAGTTTTCTATAAGAAAATCTTGAATTGAACATTTCTTCATAAAATAAAATAAGTATATAATAAATATTTTTGTTGTGTTTTCGAACACAGAAAAAAGGAACTTCGTTTCCCAAAATTCATTGCAGTGCTGACTTTTTTCATCATTGAGATTGCAGTGCCAATAAGGAAGCGTCAAACCGTAAGTTTTAAGTGAATGAGGAAGAAATATTGAGAGAAAATGGGTTACATGTATGGAATATCGAGATCTAAGAGAAGGACTGTCAACGTAAAAATTTACTGACTATAACCATAAAATTGATAAGACAATTACTTTTGAATCAGCCGCAAAAGGAGAATTTGCTAAAGTACTTTTGGAGCATGGATCGCAAAGCATGGGGAGGCATTAGGCGAAGATCCCTGACTCTGAATATTAAAGAATCAACCGTTAAAGCGTTCAATACGTTGAGGATTAAAGCGAAACAGAAAACCGTAAGAGGTAAGGAGTCCAGAATTTAACTTATTTATTTTTTCTTCGATCACATAATCATACTGAAGTTAATTATAGTGTCCGCTATCCCGCGGCAAATTCAAGTCATTGCCGCTGGGTCATTACTATTATTAGACTGCTATTGATATGCTGCTAAGAGTCTTTTTTTGCCTGCGTTTGTTTAAATTAAGACTCATTATATAATTTTTTCA